GCTCTCTCCTGATCCTGGACTCTTCAAAGTGCTGAAAAGGCCACTGGTAAAACTAAGTTATGGTGGCTTCCCCAGGAATGGGGAATGCCTGGAAACTACAGAGCTATTGTCCTGTCCTGTGGTGCATTCCTCCTGTCCCCAGGCATGCCATCTTTGCAAGGGTTTGCAAACAGGTCCTCCAGAGGCAGCCTTAAGCCTCTTCACCAGATTGCCTACTCTGGGGGCATCACTGCTCTAGCCCCACTGGTAAAACTAAGTTATGGTGGCTTCCCCAGGAATGGGGAATGCCTGGAAACTACAGAGCTATTGTCCTGTCCTGTGGTGCATTCCTCCTGTCCCCAGGCATGCCATCTTTGCAAGGGTTTGCAAACAGGTCCTCCAGAGGCAGCCTTAAGCCTCTTCACCAGATTGCCTACTCTGGGGGCATCACTGCTCTAGCCCATATGAGCAGTGTAACGGGGTTGGAACGGGTGACAATCTCAACCCATGAGTATTTTTGTGTCATATCTACACTTCTTTATGCCAGTTGTACTACTGGAGAGGTTGCTGCAGGCCATATTCTCTTACCTATAGACCACAGGAGTTACACCATAAGAGCAGTTATCTCAGTATATTCTCTGTTTAGTGTTGCTTTACCATTTTGCACTGATACATATTTTTATAGTTGGCTGATTTTAAATCTTTCTCTGATGTATCCATCACATTTTGGTGCTCATCATCCGAATTACACCCCAAAACTTTCATGATGCTACAGAATATAATATTCCATTAAAAGTTGGATGACAAGCAGTGCTCCCTGTAAACTGAGCGTGTGAGTGGCCATCCAGGAGAGATTCAGATGCCACCCCTCTGATTAGCAGAGCACCCACAGCATGTAGCATGTGTTTCTACTGGTGGTGTACATCCGCACATGCGTTGATGCACATAACAAAATTCAGCTCATGGATGGAAAAAATTAGAGGGAACATTGAAGATCAATGCATTGGCAAAGTAGTGCGGGGAGACTTGCACAGCATATGTCAGAACCATAGTATTTATTTTTGCCAGATAGCTCCCATTCATTAACACCATGACCTCTAGTGGCATTTATTAATATTACTAGCCTATTTAATATTTTTATTTAAAGTTATGGTAAAAGCTGGTCAAGTACAATAATACTAATCTCAGATTAAATTGATATGTTTTGATGCATATCTGACATTAAAAACATTGTCTCTCTTCATAGACATTGGATCTGAAAGATACACCTTCGGTTTTACCATTCGTGATTCACCAGCCTGCTTCATAAATGTAAATTCTTGGGGCAGAGAAGAATATGTTAGATCACTTTCAGAAAGTTTTAGAGTAGGTGACTGTGGTGAGTTGGAGTTTACTCTTAACATATTTCTGTTTCAATATTTTTTCCTGTAAACCAGTGTTAAGTGTTTGTAGTTATACTGTATTTTTAATCTGACTATTAGAAGGACAGTTTAATTGGAAACAGATTGTTCATTTATATAAGCATAGAGAGTGAAGGCATAAATCTTTTAGAATAAAAAGTCAAAATTACAACAGTTGCCAACAGCACCCAAAGCCCCAGATATAAACACTCAGTATTACTACTCAGAACCCACCAATAGTTAATGGATCTACATTTTCATATTGTGCTCAATTCTTAATAATTTTTAAAAAGGGAATTGTATGTGTTAGGATAATTTAGCATTTTGCCAGCATATTTATTTTAGTTTTAATTTTTAAAGTGATCACACACAATTGCCCATCAACCCCACTCCACAACACAATCCACCCCTCCTCCCCAAAACTCTCCACGACTGCGGATTTAATTATATAGGTCCTCCGCCGAAGTCTCTTGAAATCAGTAGAAAGAGTTCCATTGCCTTCAGTGGTCTTTGTATTAGGCTATGTGCCTGGTCTACACTAGACCAGGCAGGTTGGCTTAAGGTATGCCATCCAGCTACGCAAAATGCATGGCTGGATTTGGCTTACCTTAAGCCAAGCCGCCTAAGAATCTACACTCCTGTTGGCTTACCTTACTCCTCACAGATAAGGAATACAGGATGCTGGGTGCGGGGGCTGCCCTCAGCATTTGATTTGGGGGTCTACACTAGACTTGCTAAATCAAACACTAGAAGATTGACCTCCAGAGGGATGATCTTCTCAATAGCGTAGACATGCCTATGGGATGAAAAAAAGCCTCCACAAAGATGTGTACCACTTTAGGTCTATATAAGCTATATTTTGAGGGTTCAAGTGAGACATGGTAGGAGGAAACAATCCATTACATACATATACACATGCATAGGATGAAACAATTCATTACACACAAAGAAAATGGAAAATGACTGCCTAGGAAGGAGTACTGAGGAAAAGGATCTAGGGGTCTTAGTGGACCACAAGTTAAATATGAGTCAAATGTGTGATACTGTTGCTAAAAAAGCAAACATGACTCTGGAATGCATTAACAGGTGTGTTGCGAGCAAGACACGAGAAATCATTCTTCCGCTCTACTCTGCGCTGATTAGGCCTCAGTTGGAGTACTGGTCCAGTTCTGGACACCGGATTTCAAGAAAGATGTGAAGAAATTGGAGAGGGTCCAGAGAAGAGCAATGAGAATGATTAAAGGTCTAGAGAACATGACCTACAAAGAAAGACTGAAAGAGAGTCTGGAAAATAAGACTGAGAGGGGTCATGAGAACAGTTTTCAAATAGTATCTAAAAAGTTACAAGGAGAAGAGTGAAAAAATATTCTCCTTCATTGCTGAGGATAAGACAAGAAGCAACTCATTTAAATTGTAGCACAGATGTTTAGGTTGGATGTTAGGAAAAAATTCCTGTCAGGATAGTTAACCACTGGAATAAATTACCTAGGGAGGTTGTGGAGATATGTAAGAGCAGGTTAGACATCTATCGGGGTGAGCTAGATTGTGCTATGAATGCAGGGGGCTAGACTTGATGACCTCTAGAGGCGGCTTTCATTTCTGTGATTCTATGGTATATTGTCCTTGTGTGGCCCTCTGCACAGGTGTGAATTTGACTCGTAAAACACTTTTAAAGTATTGGTAATAACTATGTGAATTTTTGCTATCTAACCTAGGCCACATAAAAAATTGCCCAAATATATGTTTCTGTATTAATATTTTCAATGTTATATTTCATTTCAGTGACAATTGAAAATCCTTTAGTGCAAACAAAGGAGCTAGAAAAGGAAGAAAAATTCAATCCCACAACTCCTAGGTAAATTTAAAGTAGGTGTCAAGCTTCTTTTGTGGAATGATCATGATTAATATTGTATATACTTGTTAGACTGGACAGTTATTATAAAGCAATTTCCCTTGAAAAATCTCAAGTTTAATTTTATGCATCTCTGCTTTCCACCACACATTAATATCACTGATTTAACAGATGGGGGGATACTTGATTGGATCTATAAGGTGCTGGACAGCTGGATAAAATAGGACATGTACTGGAATATTGAGTGCTCTTCCTTCTATAGTCCAGATGACACAATCACATTAAATAGGTATAGAATTTAGGAATTTCATGTGATGAATTATATGAATGTTAGTTTATCACAACTTATGGCCAGTGTTCAGTTGGATAAAAGGCTAAAGGGCCAGCAACCAGACCATCAGAGACATAGGATTTTGTTGGTGGATCCTAGGTCTATGGAGAAAAGGGAGACCTGAAGTCTCTGCGGAATGGGTTTCCTCTTTGGGACCCTCCATCCTCCTTGCATCTGCTTTGCGTGGGGAAAAGTGAGAGGATTCAGAAGAGCAAGCTGATTCTTTGTGATAAACAGTGAAAAGCATACCCTGAGAGAGTTGTTGAGCTATGTGGTAGTAGCCCTGTAAACCCAGCAATGGACCCAATTCAGATGCCTGGTATCTGGACATAGGGAAGATAAGAGAGTTACTCACCTTTTGCAGTAACGTCTGTTCTTCGAGATGTGTGTCCCCGTGGGTGCTCCACTCAAGGTGCTGGGCTCGTCCCAGCGCCGCAAACCGGAGGATTTTTCATTAGCAGTAGCCCCTACTGGACTGCGCATGCGCGACGGCCCCTTCGCGCCTTTCATCTGAGCGCAGTCCGGTCTTGTCAGTTTCCTCCCAACCGGAAGCATCTGAAAGATATATAAATAGAAGCGCCGAAGCAGGGAGGAGGGTGGGTCGTGGAGCACCCATGGGGACACACATCTCGAAGAACAGACGTTACTGCACAAGGTGAGTAACTCTCTTTTCTTCATCGAGTAGTGTCTCCAAGGGTGCTCCACTCGAGGTGAGTACACAGCAGTGGTCTAACATTACATGAGTGCTTCGGGCCTATCGTCCTCATGCTGTAGACAAGACAGCCTGAGCTATCCTTGAATCAGAGGTAAGTATGTTCGCGAGGGCTTAGTGTCTAGCGAATGTGAGGGTAGATGACCAGGTTGCCGCACGGCATATGTCCTGCAACGGTACTCCATGAAGATAGGCAATGGATGTCACCATGCCCTGGGTGGAATGAGCACAAAGACCACTTGGAAGAGATCTGTTGCGCAAGGCATAACATTGTGTGATGCAAGCGACGACCAGGCGGGAAATACGCTGCGCAGAAAGTTGCTTTCCCTTGGAGCGCTCGGCTGTAGAAAGGAAAAGCCGCTGAGACGTCCTAAAGACTTGAGTTCTGTCCAGGAAAAAGGCCAGTGCTCGCCTGACATCTAGAGTGTGCAGATGTGCGTCTTCCAATGAGAAGTGAGGCTTTGGGTGGAAAGTCGGCAGGGTTATAGGTTCATTTATGTGGAAAGCAGAATTGACTTTTGGCAAAAACGCTGGTTGAACACGCAATACTGCCGCATGACTGGAGAATTGCGTATACGGCAGATCGGCAGAAAGAGCTGCTAATTGACTTACTCGACGCGCCGACGTAATGGCAAGTAGGAACACCGTTTTCATCGTGAGCATTCATAGATCACATGTTGCGAGCGGCTCAAAAGGGGAGTGAGTCAGAGTGTCCAATACTAGAGGCAAGTCCCAAGGCTCTGGTGGGATCCTATGGGCCGGATACAGATTGTCTAATCCTTTCAGAAACCTTTTGGTGATAGGGTAGGCGAACACTGAATGGCCGTCAATTGAAAGACGGAAGGCTGAGATTGCCGCCAGATGTACTCTTAGGGAAGAAATAGCCATTCCCGTCGTCTTTAGAAGTATCACATAATCTAGGATTTGTTGTATAGACAGCGAATGAGGGATCTTTTGCCAAGCACCACGAATGAAAACGACGCCATTTTTGGAGATAGGATTTGCGCGTCGTATGCCGTCTACTGTTAATCAACACGCGCCTCACTTCTTGAGAACAGGAGAGTTCGGAAGCCTGGAGCCAGCTAGGAGCCATGCCGTGAGGTGCATGCGGTCGATGGCTGGGTGAAGAATTGTGCCGTGTTGCTGAGAGAGCAAATTGAACAGTTCCGGTAGTCGTCGTGGATTGGCAACTGACATCTTCGACAGCTGTGTTAGCCAGGTCTGTCTGGGCCAGAAGGGTGCTATCATAATTACTGTTGTGCCGCCTAGTGCTATCTTTTCCAGAACTCTTGGAATGAGTGGAAGAGGAGGAAAGGCATATAGCAATTGGTGCCGATCCCAGTCCAGGAGGAAGGCATCCCCCAGAGAGTCTGTGCCTATGCCCGCTCATGAGCAATATTGAGGGCATTTCCTGTTGTGTCGAGTGGCGAACAAGTCCACCTTGGGGAAGTCCTATAACAGGAAGAGGTCGCGGAGCACCTCGGGGTGTAATTCCCACTCGTGTTGTGAGAGGAAATGCCCGCTCAGAGTATCGGCGATCACATTGTCCTTGCCAGGAAGGTATTCTGCGGTTATGGTGATGCCTTGTTGAATCGCCCAATTCCACAGGCGCACAGCCTCTGCGCAAAGAGAGCGGGAACGCGACCCCCCGTGTTTGTTGATGTAATACACTGTGCATATGTTGTCGGTGAGAATCTGTATGGAGCATCCTCGGATGATGGGCAGAAAGTGTTTGCAAGCATTGAAGACTGCTCTCGAGAAAATTTATATGATGTTGCGATTCCTGGGGCGTCTAGAGACTCTGTGTCCGGTGTTCTTGAAGGTGAGCGTCCCAGCCGAGCAGAGAGGCATCTGTGGTGATTTGCAGTGATGGTTTGCGGGCATGAAAGGGGACCCCTGTTAGCATATTGTTGGGGCTGTCCCACCATGCCAAGGAAGTCCGGACCCAGCTGGGCAGAGAAACCAACCTGTTCATACTGTGAACCCGGGGCGTGTACACGGTGAACATCCAATGCTGAAGACTGCGCATATGGAGTCTGGCATGCAGAACCACATACGTGGTGGCCGCCATGTGCCCCAATAGCTGTAGATGGGTAAGTATTCGGGACTTGGAGAAATTGATACCAACTTCACCAGGTCCTGTATGAGTTGAAACCTTTTTACCAGCAAGTATGCCCTCGCGGTCAGGGAGTCGAGTCTTGCTCCGATAAACTCCAGGTCGTGAGTAGGTGTCAAGAAGTATTTCTCAACATTGATTATGAGTCCTAGGGCTGCAAACAGAGTGGTAGTTGCCGACACTGCCCTCGTGGCCTCGTCGAGTGTGGAAGCCTTTAGCAGGCAATCGTCCAGGTACGGGAAGATTGTAAAATCGAGGCGCCGCAGGTAGGCCACCACTAACGCAAGGGTCTTGGAGAAAACCCGTGGGGCCGTCGATAGTCCGAAAGGTAGCACGCGATACTGATAGTGGTCGGACCCCACTATGAACCGAAGGAATCTTCTGTGGGCTGGGTGGATCGTTATATGGAAGTAAGCGTCCTGGAGATCGAGGGGCGCGAACCAATCCCCTTTGTCTAGAGCAGGGATGATCGAAGATAACGTAACCATCTTGAATTTTTGCCTTCTCAGATGACGGTTGAGCCGACTTAGGTCCAGGATAGGCCTCCAACCCCCTGATTTTTTCTGGGTGAGAAAGTAGCAAGAATAGAATCCTCTCCCCAAAAAGCGTGTTGGCACCCTTTCCACTGCCCCTAATGTGAGAAGGCGCGACACCTCTTGATGGAGAATAGTCATGTGAGAGGGGTCCTTGAAAAGGGAGGAGGAAGGGGGGGAGGGAGGGGGAAGAGAAGTGAAGGGAATGACATATCCTGAAGTGATTACGTCGTAAACCCACCAGTCGGTGGATATGAGAGCCCAACGATGGTGATAAGGCCTGAGACAATGATGGAATACGCCTTTTGTGATGCCTAGAGTCTCTGTTAACGGGGTGATCCGAAGTCCCTCGATCAACACATCAAACCTGCTGCCGGCCCTGTTGTTGGACGGACGCTTTGTTAGGTTGTTGGCAACGCTTTTGGGGACGTTGTCTTGGCCTCTGTTGATCATATGGTCTGGTCCGAGGCGTCGCATACGAGAATGGTCTCTGCCTATTGTAGGGTATGTATTTCCTACGTTTGTAGGGGGGCGTGTACATCCCCAGTGTCCTCAAAGTTGTACGTGTATCCTTGCCTGAGTGGAAGACCTGATCCGTTGACTGGGCAAATAGTGACTTGCGATCAAAGGGAAAATCCTCCACCTTGGCCTGCAACTCCTTTGGGACAGCGGCCTGGTGTAGCCAAAATGCCCGACGGATGACTATGGCCGAAGCTGTGGATCTAGCAGCTGCATCAGTCGTGTCGAGGGCGATCTGTAAGGCTGTTTGTGATTTGCCAATTGTGCCGCAAAATTACACATCCTCAGAGCAGAAGTGGAGGAGGAATATACTTTCCTGCCCAAGATATCCAGCCTTTTAGCCTCCTTGTCATTTGAGGAATTTTTGGTT